GAAAGCAAGACCAACCCCCTACCATTGCCGCAGAAAAATCACACCACCCCCTCCATTGCTGCCAAGCCCTGGGTCCAGCCAGGCTGGAGCCCTATGCCTGGAGCCCTACTGTCAGTACAGAAGTCTGGGGGGTATGTTCCCCCTATATTCCTCTGACGTGTCACCAATGCTGACAGGTACAGGTCTCAGGACTGGGCTGGCTAATCTGCAGATCTCACTGGGGATTCAGGCTTTCTAGTGATACTGCAACACTAACTGATTTAACACTGTTGAAAGAAATAAAACTGAGGAGAAGGAAAGAACAGAGATGGCTATTGTGTTATTCAGGTCAGGGTCTCAGCTACATCCAGAAGAGAAGGAATCAAAAATCTAGATTAACAGACTTTAAAGGTCAGAAGAAGCCACTAGAACATTTAGTTTTTCTCTTGAACAACACAAGCTATAAAAATCACCCAGTTACCCCTGTATCGATCCAGATATTCTTTAGTCAGACATAAGCTATCTTCCAAAAAATGCAGCTAATCTTCATTAAAGATATCAGTAGACACAGAATCCAATCCACTTAGAGGTTGTTCCAGTGGTTAAGTTGTTCTAGTCACCCTCACTGTTGAAATGTGGACCCTATCTAGTATTAATTAGTTTGGCTTTAACTCCAGTCACTGGTTTTTGTTATGCCTTTCTCTGTTAGCTAAAAAGACCTTCAGTACCTGGTAATTTAACCAAGTGAAGGTGCTTATACACTGTAGTCAAGACACTTGTTGATCTTCTTTGCTATGCTAAACAGACCAAGTTCAGGTTCTTCATTGTCTGAATAATTTTGTGATTCTTCATTGAACACTCGCTAATTGTTCAACAAGCGTTCTGAAGTGTGGATATCTGAGCTGGGCAAAGTATTCTAGTGCCATAAATGGGACAAAGAAAACCTTTCCTAACCACTGCCACCCACTTATACACTCAAGGCTCACGTTAGCCTTCTTTGCCACACCACCACACTGGAAGCTGAGGTTGACTGAATGGCATCCAGCTGGTCAAGATACTCTAGTCATTATTGATCACTACTCTGCCCGTATCATTATTCTCTACTCTACCAACCTGTCAGCTGCAAGCTTAAATCAGCAGTGTTTTTATATTTACTTCTAGATCATTGATTAAAAAGTTGGATACCATCAAACCTAGTACTGATCCCTGAAGAATTCCACTAAAACCACCCTATTTGATGATATTCCTCACTGACAAATGCTTTTTGTGATCTATAAACTAACCAGTTCTTAAAGCATTTAATGTGCCCTTTAATGACACTGCATAATGCTCATTTAGGGTGTTACTATACCTTGCTTGTAAGTCAAGCACATTACAAAACTGTAAGTATAAATGTTGTATCTGTGCAAGTAAAGAAAGCTCATCTCATCAAAAAATAAAATAAGGTCCGTTTGTCAAGACATCTTTTCCATAAATAGAGGACCTTGCACACAGGTCCTTCATATGTGTATGCTCAGTACACAGGTCCTTTATAGGGGCAGGTCTTTTTGCATTGTTTCCAACATACCGCAAAAATGGGTCCCAAAAGGCACATGTTGCTGGTGACTACAGATGTATGCAGGAGAGTGATAAAGAACTGCTAAAGCCCCTATGGTCACAAAGGCCAATTAAAAAGACCCTGTTTGTTTGAAGTATGTTTGAATTACACTAAAGAAAAACCCTTCTGTTTAAGAAAATGGACCTTGGTGAGTTTGTATGTGACAACAAATGCATGAGTGTTTGTATATGTCAATTTATGAGCGTGAGCCCAGAGATCAGAGAGTGCTCCAAAAATCTCTACCCTCAAATTCATATAAAATTAGAGGAAGGTGAATATATCTATATAGAACAGGTGTATGCACACACATACATACACACGCAAGCATTCATGCTCATGCACGCAGACACAGATACATCTGAAACTACACACAATTCCTCTCACTACAACTCCTATTGCAGGGTCCACTCCTGCCATAAAGACGACAAGCTCCATTTCATACTCGAACATCCAGTGTAATCCATTCAGTGAGGGAAAGACAGGTGTTAAAAGAAAAGCAACAATGAAGATGGCACTTGTTCACCCATGGCAGAAGGACCAAAGTCCAGGTGCTAGCGTGAACTTTATTCTATATACAGGAGAGAGGAGAAAGGGCCAGGTGGCCACCTGAATTTATTACTGCATGGAAAAAAAACCCAGTGACAACTGGGGTATAAAGCCAAGGGAGGAGTCTACAAACAGCTGGAAGAACTGAGGAGGGGAGGGAGGGAAGGAGAAAGAGCAAGAGAGAGTGAGTGAGCATGGCTTCACTATACCTTTGGAAACATTCCATCCCCTCCAAATTAGGACAGTGAATCAGCACAGACCATAATCCCATTTTCCCCCCAATGGCAGGAGATGATGACTATTCATTCTTGGCAAGTGTCTAATCAGGTTTCCCTCTTCCGGTCCAGCATTTATTCAGACCCTCTCTGCTCCACTTAAAAGGGGAGTAAGACCTATTACAAGAGAGGCAGTAACATAAGGTGGTATACAAGGATAGAGCATCTTCTAAGAGGAAGGAGTTTGACTTATTTCAAGCTATTCAGGGTATCCTACCAGGATGGCTGGGGTATATAGAATATTTTTCATGAATGAAGGAAATGAAACACACAGTGTGTGAAAGCGAGAAAGATGGAAGTAGAGGGAGAAGCGTGGGAAATGTACAAAAAAATAACAGAAAAAGTAAGGCACGTAGAGAGCAGGACAACAGCACAAGATACACAGCAGAAGCGTGCAGACATCCACAGGCACTGCCAATGGGATTGCTACCCTCTGTGAGGTGGCAGTGAGACATATGTGGACAAGTCACTGTGAGAGCTGTGTTAGGGGCCAAAAGAAGGGACATGGTGAAGGCACTGAGAAGGTAAAACCATTTGCACGCTGAAAGAGCCAACAGAAACTGATCCTCCACCTCTTCAGACTCATCCAGTCCTGTTTCGTTTCTGGACTTGATACAGTGCCTGGCAAAGAGCTTTCCCTCGTTGAAAAGGCAGTACGCAGACAACCAGGGTTTTAATCACAGGAGAGACACCAGGCATCCTCGGACATACACCGTCACAACCCATCAGATAGGCTGTGATTACAAGAGAGGTGGGCAGCCTCTGACGTACAACATCAGCACCCACTAGAAATGGGGCATTTCCACAGTGGAAAAAACTCCTTTACACTCAGACAGGAAATTCCTGTTCATTACTTGGTTTACCATTCTGTTTCTTTTGGTTCCTTGGGTTGAGGTGAAGGACCCAAATACTAAAATTATCTTGGTTCTGCATCAGCTCCTCCCTAACGCTCCCTTAGCAATGCACTTGTGGCTGGAAAAAGATGCCTTCTTATCCCAGAGTATCAGAATTATACACATGAAACTACACTTAAGGGAGATCCAGCCCTACAATACGTATGGTGGTATATGAAGTTGTATCCCATGAGCTCTGTAGCGTAGAAAGTGCCCTTGGGATTCATAGTTCAACTGAAGGAGTGATATATGTGTGTTTGCGGGAGAAGGACTCTCCCTTTCCACCATATGATTTTATACTACTCTCCAAGCCAGATGGGCAATGGCATAATTAGAGCATTGACCTGGGGCTGGTGGGTAGGCACTGGAAAAAAAAAAAGTTTCCTACTGGTGGGCAGCCCCATGATTGTAACTGGGATTGTGGTAGCAACCAGAAAATCACCACTGCCCCTGTGTCTGGTTACATCCTTATGCTGTTGCAGATGGGTACCAGTTGGGGAAGCAGTGGCTAAAGAGGGGCAGGATACAAGGCATCTGCACATCCTGGATGAAGTCCCTTCTTCCTCTCTTTTGAAACTACTTGCATTTGGAGAGGAAGAAGAGCTGATACAACGTAGCTTCCCAGATATGGCCATCATTGGGGCATTACCATGAAACACATTCTTCCAGCTACTCACTGCCATCTCATTCCTGGCAATTCTGGGTTCCACAGATACCAGTGTTATTGCTTTGATTAGGCTTGTATGGTACAATGTCCCTTCACTACAGATCTCTCTGGCCCTGACTGAAGTCTATGTGGAGAAGAGGATGACCATCTGTTTCAGAGAACTGCCTCCTCCCTATCTCTCCTATACAAGCAAAATCTTAGTACATGAGAGAGAAATAAAGAAAAAACATGATCCCAACTGTAGAACTAAGTCAAACACATAGGGGAAGGCTTCACATACTCCAAATGACACTTGCCTGTTCTGTGAGCCAAGGTGAAGGAAGCATGGCTAGAACTGCTACCTGAAACTTGGATTTTCTCCACTTCTGCATAATAGAATTTCAAGACTTACCTGGGGACACCAGGAGGAGCACGGTTGGGCCTAGATGGAACCTGAGGTGGGGGCCCAAAAGGATCAGGGGAGGCACCTGGCCTGGAGGGCACAGGGGGAGCACCACCCAGTGTGGATCCACCAGCAGGAGGAGGTCCAGGAGCCGGACCTCGAGACAAAGGTCTGGCTGGTGGAACAGCGGGAGCTCTCCTCTGTGGTGTAGGGCTGGACGTAGGAGACCTAACAAACAAAGAGAAGTTCAACTGCAACCACAGGCACATATGATAACCCATGTCACCTTCAAAATTCCATCCTGCCTTCAGGACCACTTCAGTACCCATTTTGCCTTCTCCATTCTCTCTTCCAGATACCTCCAACCCCTGAGTCACCTTCCAAATCCCTCAAACAGTCTCCCCATAGGAAGAGCATCCAGCAGCCCAACATCTCCTGCAAGACCCCAGCAGCCCCTATATACATTTTCAAGGTCCCAGCACCCTCCACGTAAACTTTTAGTATTCCAAAACCTTTCATCACCCTGGAAGCCCTCATATTCCAGAAGGAGGCTCCATCTGGCCCTTAAAGAGGCATCAGGCAGTTCTGTGGGGCTCTCCCCCTGAGCCTCTGGTACCTGCGTCCAGATGGTATGTTCTGCACCTGCAGCCAGGAGTCGTCCACCGGCGGAGGCATCGGGGTGCTGATGGTGGTGGTGTTAATGTCCCCTATGATGTTGAGTGCCTCCTTCAGGGCATGGTACATGCGCAGCATCTCATCACGCCGCTGGGCCTGCTCTGCTGACTCTTCCATGAGGGTGTTTTGATCTCCACAAGAATACAGGTTTGCCAGTAACTCTGAGTGGATAAAATCCTTGGTCTGTAACAGGGCAGAAGAAATGGAATCATAGTAACAAAGCCTCCTCTAAATCATTACGCCTCCAAAGGCTTCTTCTCTACTCATCCCTCTTTTAAACTTATTCTCTGATCTACCTTTAGTTTATCACTTAACTCTTTCTGTCTATTTCTCTCCTTTTTCCATTCAGTTTCTCCCACATTCCTTAGAGGGATGGGCAGCATGATACCTACGTTGTTTATCATGAGATGCATAATGGTCTTAGGCATGAGGTCTCGGATGGTTTTGTTGACAATTCCCATGTAAGAGTCCACCAAGTTTCTGATGGTTTCCACTTGTCTCTCCAGTTGAGGATCCATGGAGTGCATGAAGCTGTCTGAACCATTTTCCTCCGTTTCACTTGCCTGTAAAAGGAGCACAGAAGGGAGAAGCAGGGATTGGAAAGAGATAAGACAACTCTTTAAAAGAAAAGGGGCCACAAAAGCAAACAAGAAACAACTAGGAAGAGATTGGGGAACTTCACACTGCAGCACAGGTTGCAACTCAATTTATTTGTTGTGTTATAACAACAACTCCTAATACATTGCTCAGCTTGCAAAGCCATTTAAAATTTTCCTGGTTTCAACTCAGAGAAAGGACCATAACTGAGTTTTGTGTTAGCACAATCCATTCTACCTCCATACAGAACAGGTAGCTAGTGGACAAGTGGCAAGTCCAGTTACTAAGCATCTTTAGTGGCATGCAATTTTCCTTAAATCAGTCATACCTATTGTGCCTTTGAATAAAAATTCATTCAGGAGGTGTGCAAGCACACGTGCACAAGTGCATCAGTGTGCTGGGATGGATGGATCCAAATGGTGTATGCAAATACAGCTAGTGTGTGCAAGAGTTGAACCCCATATACTAGTGTATACAAGGGAAATGAATACCAATATAATCAGTCATTGCTGCAAGTAAATGAACCCAAATACACATATAATTACATACATATGTTGTCTGTGATATTAATTTGCCCTTTGGCACATAATGGTGTATGTGTAGGCATATCTGCATGCATTTATTCTCAGGTGTAAGATGTAAGCACAGCATGGGTAGATTGATACCAGGATACTAATATCTGGAAACAGTGTTAGTTAGGATTCCAGTTCTATCAGTCAGCTCAGGCTGGAACTCTAAGCATGTGATGTTTTCTTCCCTGATAAGAGGAGTAGGGGAAAGGGTGCTGTTTATAAAACAGTTTAGTACTCCCTGATATCTCTTGCTATCTAGCCAGGTATGTCTAATTTGCCCATCACTGGGTGCGTCTACACGTGCGCTTTAATGCACATCAGCTTGTTTTAGTGTGCACTAAAGCATCACAAAAAGTATATTTGGCTAATGCACATCAATATTAGGCTAATGCACCTTTTTTCTAGTACCTTACAATGGAGGTACTAAATTTAATGCTCATTAGCAAAAGTGCACTAATGAACGTGTAGATGCATCAACCACTGTTACAACCAAGCTAAAAATCACAGTGGAAGGAGCAGCTATAGCTTTAAGAAGGGGTGCTCATCCTTGCTGTTACTGTACCTGACAAACAAGGGGAGATGAAAGAACGTACATGGTTTGAAGGAAGGGACAAAATTAAATAACCCATAAAGAGGGGGTGAGTGATTGGCTGCAATGCTAACTCTCCGCCAAAGGGAGCTGGAGTTCTACTGAGAAAGCCCTTGACAGTGATAATGTAAGGAAAAATAGCTTCTTTGCAAAACAGCAGTTTATAAATCACGAAATGCTCAATACCTAAACACGACAGCACAACAAACAGTCAGGCCTCCCGAGACAAGGAAGGGGTTCCAGGGAGGGAAATGTTTTTAAAAAATGATGCATTATGAATAAGATTTTTTAATCAAGAAGGCTGTGCAAGCTTTTCATTTTCATTGCTGAGCCATTTCCCCTCAATATTCCATACAGTCAATACTTCCTTTTGTAATCATAATTATTATTATTTCTTACCTTTATAATGGCCTTCAGCTCAAAAGATTCCAAAGTACCTTAGAAATTTTGGACCTGATCCTGCAACTCTTGCATATTGACACCAAAGCAACATTCATATAAAGTGTTTGTAAAATGTTTCAGATAGAACAGTAGCATTTTACACTATATTTGAATTGCAGTAAATGTCTACGTAATCTGCAGGACAAAAGAGACTCTGGCCTAAGGTTTACAGGACTGGCTCCTGCTTAATATTTGCTGGTTAAAAAGCTGTAGGGATGTGCACTACAATCTCCTGTTTTCATGAGATTGTAAATCCCTGAACATTTCTCCATTTGGCCTGATGTCTTCCGTGCCTCTTTCTGGTGATCAACAAACATTAACAACAAACCTCTCTGTGAAAAGGGGAGCCCTAATACTCCTTGCATAGATGGAGAAACTGAGTTAAAAAGAGTTTGTATAGTCAGCGTCTTTTAGTGAATCAGTGGAACAATCCAGAAAATAAAAAATAGGTCTTTTAACTCTAAATCCTGAGGCAAAAGCACAAGCACCTTTTTTCCCCACATGAAAGCATTTTGGGATTCTTTAGCAAAGATATACATGCACATAGGCACAGAGTGAGGAAGAGAGAGATCCCTTTACCCATAACTGCAATACAACCCAGACAAGACAACTATCTCTAGAGAGAAACCTGGTAACTGTTTAACAGTGCACAGCAACACAATAGCATATTTGAAAAGACTCATCCATTTGGGATTAATTTAAATTCAGTTTTCAAGGCAGGAAGGATGTTGCTGTTCATATATTAATATGCTATTTAAAAATCTCTATTTTTTTTTTTTTTTTAATATTCCTCTTTCAAACTCTCCAATTTGAAAGACTTGCAGCAGTTTAGGAGATGGAGTAGAGTATTATACTTTTCCAACTGGAGGGAAAACAACCCAGTAAAGAATGGATTATTTTCTTTTATTCTGCCTCTGTTTCCCCTTGGTTTTTTTGTTTGAACTTCTGCTGGAAGGATTTTAAGTATCCCCAAAGGGATGGATGGTCCCACAGTCTAAGAAACAAAGGTTTAGAGAGCTGGAAATCAGACATGACGACTCAAAAAAGGAGGATAAAAAGCAAAAAATAACGTTCTGATGAGATTCAGAAATCAAACACCAAAGAGCAGTGATAAAAAGAGAAAAAGAAGAACCCAAGCCAAGAACAGAAACAAACAGCAGATGAGCTGACAGAAGGTATAAAGAGAGGGAGGAGGAGCAAATGCCTCTCAGGAAACAATGACAAAAAGGAAAATAAAAAGGAGAAACTGAAAAAGAAAAACAAATCAAAACTAGCTGATAAGAGCCCCCAAAGGGCAACATAGGTAGAGATGGTATCACTTACTTTGTCTTTGTCCTGGGCAGGTCAGTTTGAGCACAAAAACCACCAAGAACAAAAAGGGACAAAAATAAAAAAAAAGATTTTAGTTGATTTCAGAGGCAGAAGCAACTACTATACAGTAGCACTGAATGGAACTAAGGCTGAAACCCCCTCAAAAATACAAGCCAAAGGGATTAAGTCAAGCCCTGTGCCACTGAGGCCAAATGGATTGGTAACTAAATTGAACAGTCAAAATGGGAACCTCTGCAAAGGAACATGGCTCATTAAGCATGGATATCAAGGGAAAGATACTTAGCCATAATAGCTTATCATTACTTCCTCCTCAGATGGGCTCTTGCACTCGACTATTGATAGAAATTGCAATGCTTCTGAAAAGTATAAAATATTCCAAATAATTCCTTTGCATCACCAATAGATGAGACATGTCCTTTACTGAGCATGGACTATGCTGCTCCTGGGTCTGGTCCAAAACCCAGTGAAGTCACTGGGAGTCTCTCCATTGATTTCAGTGGCTTTGGGCAAGCCCCATAGTCTCCCTACTCCTCAGTTGCTTTCCCACCAAAGTGGTTATAGGATAAAAACCAACCAATGAAAAAAAATGATCTTCAAGTCTAGGAGGAAAGATGGATGAACCTCCACCAAGAAACACAAGTGTCTTAAAAACTGACAAGTCAGTAATTATCTATTCTAATGGCAAGCATTTATAATAGCTTTCCTCACCCTCAGAGACTGAAAAGCCCCTCAGGCCTCTCTCTCGGTATCAGAGTGTACAGTATGATATATAATATACTACTACTCAGGATATTTATTTATTTTTTTAGAGAGAACTGAAGGCTGGTAGTTAAAGAATTACAGGAAAATGTCAGCAGAAAACAACATGGCATCTGCATGGCCCGAGGAACCTTTCTACCAAAGGGGAATAAGACATCTAACAAGAGTAATATAAGAAAAAAAATTCCTGAACAGAAAACATAGTGGTAGCAAAGCTATAGAGCTCTTAATCAGCAAAGATACTGAAAGGTTATGACTCTGGTTACCATTATGCCTCAGTTTGGGGGAGACAAGCCATCAAGTGGTAAGGCAGTTAGGATTTCAAATGCTGTGTTGTTTCTCTTCATTTTGGAGCACAAGCCCAAAAGTGTGGAGCTAGAGAAATATTTGCAGGAAGATTCAATGACTCCTGTCTTCTCAACTTTTCTGAGCAGAGGAATGTTTGTCACTGTTGAGCTAAGCTACTTCCACAATCTGTCTAAGAAAATCTCAAACTATTGGCCATACAGCCCATACAAGAAAAGAAAAAGAAAAGAAGAGCTAGGTCTGCCTTCTCCCACTTGAAAGTTAGTAATGGCTTAATTCTACCCACCCACACCAAGGGAAGAAGCAGTGCTTACCAGAGGATAATGATAGCAAGAAATTCTATGTCCCACCCAGATCTACCCTACCAGAAAAGGTGACAGAAATAAGGCCATCACAGTGGGTTGTTTGCTTGGGTTTTTCAATAAAAAGAGGCCATATTTCAGAGATTTTTCCTAAGACGCTTGTACTCGTTTCTTTGTCATCTCCTGTTATTGCTGACAACTAAATTCCCAACTTACCCCAACACGTTCTGGGTAAACTCCTGCACGCAAGAAGGAAGCTTTCCAGCTGTCAACCTCCTCCTGGGTCTCGCAGGCCAGCTCCAGCTGCCGATAGTCTTTGTAAACGTTCCTAAGAAATGAGACAGAAAGATTACTTCACTCCTCCATGGCAAAATAAACCCCTCAAAAACCCATTTGCTCATCTCTACCAATGACCCAGGCACCAGACCAACTCGATCATAAAGAGACTACTCTTGGCAGATTTGAGAGAAGGATTCCCTTTTCAAAGTCATTCACTCTTTGGCTTCTTCACACTCTACTACAGTCCCTCTAATTCCTGGGACCTTCTTTATTAGCTCACTGAAGAAAGTCATGTTGAACTAAATCTTTAAAGTGTTGAGGACAGACAGCCTGGCTAACTGAAAGCTAGAGTCGCACTGCATGGTACATGCATGTTTCCTAATGGCATACCCAACCCATCTGGACAGGCCATTACTTCCAAGAGGTCCCACCCATCCACTCCCTCTCCTTTGGAAGAGGAGTCTGGGGCAGGGCCAGACATGTTCTGGAGAAAGAAAAGCACCTCTGCTCAGTGTTGAAGAGAGCAAAGATATGTTTGCTGGACATGAAACCTTTCTCAACGTCCCGCAGCTTCAGGTTATCCACTGGCAGCATGTATTTCTTCTCCTTCTCCTGAAAGAAGAGGAAGAACAACTAGTCATTCATTGCCACAGACAAAGCCCTCATCTACTCCAGGAGTCAGTCAGCACAGCTGTCAAACTGACTCCCCCACTCACTCCAAAATTCAAGTCTCCATCGGTCAGCAACAAGAACCTCCCCAATTTCCACATCCCCCCTGACAGTCAGTCAATGACCGGACATTCAAAGCACAGCTCCTTCACCCCTTCAAGAAGTCAGTCCACAATTGGGTGCTCCAAGCACAGCTCTCATCCCTTCAAAGTATCAGTCAGCATGGCCCTCGCCACCAAGTTTCTTCATTCCTAAAAGCAGCCAGTCAGCAGGGAGATGCTCTCAGTTTAAGTCAGTCAGCAATGACCCCCATACAGCTTAGTCAGAAATGATGCCCTCGCTACCCAGCTCCCTCATCCTCTCACGCGGTCAGCAACAGGCCTGTGTGTTAGGCAGGGCACTAACAGGCTAAGCCCCTTCCTTCACGCAGTCAGTCAGCAACAGGGTCCTCACTGCCCAGCTCCATTACCCCCTCAAGCAGTCAGCCAGTCACAAAACATTCACAGCTTAATTTCCCTTTTGTCTCTCAGGTGGCCAGGCACAGGGCACTCAGCCAGGCATCTTCTTCTTGCAAGCAGTCAAGGCTTTTGTACACATCTTTTTTTGCCCTTTCTTGCGCTCCGACAGCGTGACCATCTGCACGAGTGGGTTTTCCGGATGTTTTAAAAGTCCCTCATGCATGAAACTCCTCAGACATAGCTTAGCTTGGCTCTCTGTGAATTAAAGCATTACATCCATGGATTCGTTACGTGCAAACACAACTTGACTCCACAATTGTCTTAAGGAGTCAGTCAATCTCACAGACAAATTCTCCACTCCATTAAAAAAACAAAACAAAACAACACAATAATGTTCTGATGAGATTCAGAAACCAAAAAAAACCAATAAGCAGGGAGTCTGGCTCCATCATTGCCTCAGTCAGCAAATAAGCCTTTTCAACCCCACTCCAAAACCTTGTCCAAGAATCAGTCAGAAAGGGGATTTCATAGCTTTATTCTACTACCCCTTTAAGATCATCAGACAGGCTCTCCCAGTTCTTTCAAAGAGTGACCAGGCACTCGCAGACCACCTCTTCCAAGACCTCAAGCAGCCAGGCAGTGCAGGGGTCCCCACAACACAAATCCCTCACTCTTTCAAGGAGGGAGTCCTCCCAGCTCCACTCCATTATGCTTTCTAGGGGTCAGTCTACAAGGGGTCTTCACTGCCCAACTTCCTTTCACTTTAAAGAGTTAGCCAGGAATGAACCCTCAGAGCAGGGCTTTTCCATCCCTTGAAATCATCTCTCAGTTTTAGGAATCTCACCAGCTGGGTCCTCAGTTCCCTCAAGAAAATCAGTAAACAACAGGGCCCTGGTAGGGGGCCACCACAGTTTAGCTCCACCATCTTCTCAAGGAATGAGTCCATAAGGGAATCTTACACCACCTTCTTGTGAGTTAATTGGCAAAGGTTTTTCTTCCTTTGAAAAGACAGTCAGTGAAAGGGTCTGGACAGTTAACTCCACTGTCTCCTCATGGCATCCACCTGTAATGAGGTTCTCACAGCTTAACTCCTGCTCCTGTTAAAGGAAACGGTCAACAACCAGATTCTCATAGCTGGGCTCTTCCATCCTCTCCAAGGGTCTGTCAGGAACAGAGACCTCACAGGCAGTATTCTTCATCCTCTCAATGAACTAGTTAGCAAGGACAGCCAGATTCTCCATTCTGCCTAGGAGTCAGCCAGTAACAAGGTCCTCACAGTCCAAACACAGGGGCTACAGCCTGGTTCCCTCAACCCCTCAAGCAGCCTGTCAATAGTGGGTCATTCACAGACAAATACCCTCATTTTCTCAAGGAGTTAGTCAAAAAGGGGGTCCCTGTAACACCACCCCTTCATTCCTGAAACAAATCAGTCAGCTTGGCAAACCTCCCAATACAACTCCCGTATTCTTTCAAGCAGTCAGTCAGCCAAGGGACCCTGCTTTCCAACACTCTTGTCCACTACCTCCTAATTCAAGAAAACCCGTCAACAGGGAGGCAATCAGAGCGTGGGTCTTTGAGTTCCTGCAGGAACTCAGTCAGGGGGCCCTCAAAGTCCAAATTTTTCATCCATAAAATGAATCAGGTCAGCAAGAAGAACTTTGTAGCCTCAATCACAGCAGAAGCCCCTCAGAGTTAGGCATCAGCCTGGGCCTCACAGCCCACCTCTGCCGTTCTGTCAAGAAATTCAGCTAGCAAGGAGGACTTCACAGCCCTGCTCTGTATCACTTCACCAGCAACTGGGCCTCACAGCCTGGCTCCTCCAGCTCCTCAAGGAGTCAGTCAGCAACCAAGCAGTCACAGCTCAATTTTCCATGCCTCCAAGAAGTCAAGTCAGCAATGCTGCACTCTCCGTACAGCATCACCATCCTATTAAAACAGTGGTTCTCAACCTTTATGGACTTGAGGCACCCCTCCGCAACTTTTGTGAATTGTGACAGCCGTTTTCAAAAAAATAAAGTATATATTATAATACTTACCTCCTTGCAGAGGGGCCAGGCAGGGACAAACCTGAGTTTATGAATATCTCACACCCTGTGGCACCCTTCAAAGGATCTGGGAGCAGCCAAGAGCATGTGGCACTTTGGTTGAGAATCACATCCACTGGGCCATCTCAGTCAGATACCTTCGTCCCCTCAAATAATGATTGAGCAATGGAACATTTACAGCCAAATACATGATTCCTTTCTATCTAATAGGTTTAGGATTTTATATCACACTCGGTGCCTTTGTATTTTTTCTGCGCTTCCTTCTTCAAGTCTCTGCATTAGAGAGCCTCTCTCAGTGACCAGCCACATTCACAATGATCCCATTCCTATTCTTCTTTTTTATCCTACATGGCACATGGCTTTTCCCACCCCCCAATTCTTCATCCCCTAGTTCCATTGAAATGCAGTGGGCTTGTCGACAGGTGTGCTTTTTTAATGCTCATTAGCCTATTTTAATGCACATTAAAGCATCACAAAAAAACCATGCACTTTCGCTAATGTGCATTAAAATAGGCTAATATGCCTTTTTTCTATTACCTCACAATGGAGGGCTTTATTTACACCTGCAAGCACCACAGCACTGGGCGATTTGAAAAGTGTCTGGCGCTGCTATGTTTGCAATTGTATATGTGGTGAAATGCGCATCAGCGCAAAAAAAGTGGCGGTGCGCTTTTGAACTAAAACGCTTCAGAGATGCTTTCATTCAAAAGTGCACCACCACCATTTTCTGCGTGCCAATGCACATTTTGCTGCTTATGCAACTGCATACGGCGCTGCCCAGTGCGCACCAGCTCACAAGAGGAGAAGACTCGATTAACTGGTTTTCCATGCCTCCATGGATTCATCGATTAATCCATGGAGGCAGACTCGATTAATCGAGTCTGCTCCAAAGCGGCAGATCTCTGGCGTGTTGCGGGGCAGAAAGGTGTGTATAAGTGCCCAGAGATACTCAATTTAATGTGCATTAGCAGAAGCGCATTAATGAACATGTAGATGCACCCAGTGCCATCTTCTTGTAAAGTATCACCAGCCATCTGATTTGGGGGGGAGTTAATTATTTGTTAGTCCCGAGTTTAAATAAATCAGGTGTGATAAAATAATGTCACCATGGTTGCAGTTAGAAGACTTTTCCCTAGAACCCTTATTCTTAGGGTTCTAGGAAAAAAACAAGTCATTTGACATGGAGACTGATAATTTCTTTAGTCCTTAGAAGAAACTAAAACCCATTTCTCTTTCAGAAGAACTTGTATGTCCGATGCATTCTGCTGCTTCATCCCATACCATGAAAAGATTGTTCTCTTAAAACAATAATAGTGACTTACAAAATAAGGCGCTGTAAGCTTAAACTGCAGCTTTATGGTTGCTATGCTATAGGGTATTTTAGGACCAATTAAAGACCTTTTATACAGAAAATTAGTAACAGTCTTCACTGAACATCTGAGCCACTGTCTTTCTTCTGACGACCAGAAGCCCAGCTGAGACAGGCTGTTGGCCTTGGGAAAGAAATGTTAAAAACAATGCTTAAATTTAAAAAAAAAATGACTGATGATATTGAATGTCTAATTTTTTGTGTGTCCAATTTAAAAGAGATAATTTTCAGAGAGTAACATGCCCACAACTTTCTGGCAATTGGCCCTCTGTGGTGAGGAGACCAGCTAAGCAGTAAGGCAGGCAAAAAAAGGACATCAAATTTATACCAACAAAGTCACTAGCCCTGATGGTTCTGTTGTGCTCTCGCCCATGGACTAGTTTAAAGTCCCACCACTGTAGAGTCACAAAGATATAACAAAGCTTAATTCTGAAATCTGGTTTCAGAGATAGATAATAGTTGGTTGATTTTTGGAGTACTTTGGCTTTAACTGTAAAAAATTAAGAGGGACAGCAGAATCTGATCTTCAACAGGTACAAATATGGGATGATTCCAGTCTTAATTAGAGTAAATTTGGATTTACACCAAATGTAACAGATGAATTTGACCCAGTGTCCCTACTTGTGAGCATACAATTCTGGCCAGGTATTGTTATAACAAAAATGACCAAAAGGTGGAGCTAGCATACCAGCATCCTGAATGCAGCATGTAGGTACCCAAGACTCATAGGGAAATGCAGAGTATGAGTGTGAGTGTGTACACATGATGCAACTGTTCCCCCATGTCTAGTTTGTTCATCAATGACAACCTTGGCTGGAAATATGAAACAATGTGATCCTCCACAAGGGAAAGCAGAATGGAAAAGGCAGGCAGGCTGTGAGAAAGGAGCTTAAAAATCTAACCAGAAAAATATGGGAGCAGAGAAGCAACTGTAAATGACGACACTGCTGACATGTAATTGATAGATGGAATCAACTTTCAAAAAAAAATGATCTGGTCAGTTTAATGACCCAAAGACTTTAGTCAGCTCACCAAATTTCATACATTTATATCAGCCCTTCCATGCGCAGC